CACCTGGTTCTGAGCTCAACAGGAAAGCCGAAGGTCCCGATATGAGCTGAGACCTTGTCTCTTCTTTGCAGCATCCTCGCCGTGTGATGTTAGAGTCGAGTTAACCATTGATGCGATCGGTTCTGCCCCAGCGACCTTTGGCCCCTCTCTCTGGCACCAAAACCGGACAATATTTGGACTCGGCTCTACAGCACCTCAGCCACAACTTTTGCCTTTTGATAAAGTGGAGTTAACCATTGACGAGATCAGCTCTGATCCCGCAACCTTTTGCCCTCTTCTCCTGTGGCGCTCGCAACAAAAAGTGCACAATATTTAGACTCAACCTGAAATAAATCATTTTCCGGTAAATTTGAGAGCGGCGTTTCAGAGCCTAAATATAGAGCGCCAGCTTATGATGTGGCTGTATTCGCTGCAGCAGTCAGGATGTGCACAGGGTTGGGCCTTCTGCTGTGGTCACAGGTTTTAAAAAATGTTTTTTGTAGCAGGAAGCCAGATGTGTTGTTGTCACGTCTGTCGGCGTGAGAATCAAGTGTTTGTGGTGGACTGAGGCGCATGACGTGACTCTGTTTGGCTGTTTTGACCTTTTCTCACCATCCTGTCCTCGGCGCTCTCTGCACTTGGTTGGCTGCTGGGACTCCAGCGCCTTCTCCCTTCCTTTGTTTGACTGCAGTTTGATTACGCTTCGCCGTTTTTTTTTATGACAGTCCAATGTCTCTGATACCCGCTTGTCCTTCCTGCTGCCACCGAGCTAACGGCGCTTCTTAAAGGCGCCATCACTTACCGAGTTACCGTAGCTCTTATCATTTAGCTCTCCGCCTGCCGCTCACTGTCAAGCGATGCAGCTTGCTGCTGTTTGTGTGGAGTATAAACTTGCTGGTGAGTGATAAACCTGATGCCTGATTGATGCACGGACCCCCATACGTGCATGCCTGATTGTGCATTTTAGGCTGCATTGAATTAAACCCTCCTCAGTTAACGTCTTGAATCAAAAGAGAAGGCCGCATACCAGATTACCCGACTGAAGGAGCCTCTTTCCATTCCGTGATGATTAACTAGAGCGAAAGTACACACTCTTATGTAAGTGCCACTTGGACGTAGCGGGTAATCTTCAGATTATTACTGTGCTCGGGATGTGCTTTTAATCCGATCGCAGCGCAGAGGCCAACAGTCGACCTATCAGGTCGCCGCCTTTCATCTAACTGACCGTATGAGTGAGTGAAGGGATGAATTCTCTCAGCCGCTCGGTACATTGCCGTGCGTGCTCCGTGTCCAGTCAAAGGTCAAATGCCATACAGCCTGTGATAAATGTGGACGCTGTTAGTTAAAGAAGTTCCTCTGTGCTCCGTTTCAGGTCCTGCTGCAGTGAACTCGCGTCTCTTCCCAGTTGCAGCCTGAGCTCCATGGCCTTAAGGTACGTCACGGGGGGGGAGCTGTGGCGTTGGGCTGTCCTGAGACTGCGAGTTAAGCAGTGTGGGAATGAACAGGGCGCTGCATTAATCTCTTTGTTTTTCTTTTGCTGCCTGCTGGAAATAGAAACATTCAGTCTCTTTTGTGCTCCGTCCTTCCTCAGACCGCTTTCGTTCTCGGTGAATGTCGTCATTTGTTGACCGTTGCATGTCTGCAGTTATGCTGTCTCATGTCTCATGTCTCGTTTGAAGCCTCGCTGGCCCCCCAATCAGTTTCATTGACTATTTAAATATTATTATTATCATATTAAATTATTTTCTTTATTTGCTGTGTGTGCTCTGAATAAATACACGTGGAATAAAAGAGGCTGTGCAGATCTACCATAGTGTTTAAAGTCATTGTAGTTACCACTTGTTTGTGTGTTAATGTATATTTATGAGACCTCCAGTATAAAGTACACAGGCTTCAAGTTTTGACTTTGTCTAAATCAAACTCTCAACCTGTTTTTGTGAGTCAGTTTTTGGCAGAACCCTTTTTAGAAGTTTACCATTTAATAATATATTTTTTAAAAGAAAGAAGGCTGAACGTGAGAACTGTGGTTGCGTCATGTCGCTTGAGCAAAGCGGTTGCGATGTGGAGTTTCTGCTCGTTTCCGTGGCGTCTGGTTGCCGAGGGTAACCGGTCAGGACAGGAAGAACCCCACACAGACGGATTTCATTTAGGTTCTTGTTGGGTCACATTCTTCGGCGGTGGCGACAGTCTTCTGCCGGGTCGCCTCGCAGCGGTCGAGGCGGCTCTCTTCTGCTGGTCGATTGGCTGCAGGCGGCACGTGGACGTTCCCCTCGTGCAGATGAACCCAGTAGAGGGAGGCAAACGGGGGCTGGGAAAAAGGCAGAATGTATGTCGAGTGCAGAAACCGAGAGAAGCAATGCGGTCGGGTTTGTCAACCTCTAAAACCCGGAGAGAAAAAACACAAAGTGTGCAGGGAAACGCATTTCTGACATGGCCCCACTGAGCTGTGTGTGTATAAACTGGTTCATTGGGTCTCCGTAATGGTTGTTGTTTAGGATAGAAAGCTCTTGTCGCATGCATTAATGTAGTTCTATGGCTTCATCATTTGAGGGTGCAGTTGCCTTTTTGCACCAGTAGAGGGCATGCAAACTTTTTTTTATTTTTTCGTCCACGCCTCAAAAGTTTTTTCTGCCTTCGGGGGGGGGGGTTCCCCCCCCCCCCCCCCCCCCTCCATCAGCTGAGTGCAGAACAGACTGTGACTTCTGGGCCCACCAGTTTTCCTGTTTTCTGCTGCATGAGAGCGAGGGGGGAGGGGGGGCGGCGGCAGTGCTGCACATTGTTCCCAGAGCTTCCTCTTCCACATTCCATCGGCGGGGGGGGGCGGTTCTGAGCAGCGGTATTGTTTCAGTGGGACCTGGTCCCCAACTAAACCACAGCTGCCTCCACTGGCCATTATGGAGCTTGAGCCGGCTGATGCTATCTTCATCAGTTCTGTCTCTCTGTCTCCGTCTCTCTGTGTCTCCGTCTCAGTCGTGCACTTTCTCCCAACCAGCCTTCTTCCTCCTTTTTTGTACATACAATATGCATAATTTTATTAAATTCAATTAAAATGCTTCATTTTCAATATAACTCTATTTATTTTGCATTTTATCCACACACACAACTCAATTTCCGACGTCAAAGAAGCCCAAATCCAATCTTAGCAACGTCTGCTCTCGTCTGCTCCGAATGTGGGCGCGACCTCTGACCTTTGAGGGTAGACGTGCGTCCACGTTGACGGTGTCAGCATTTAGAAAACTGGAATTTGTTAAGCTAACGCTTCGTGAACAATGACACTGAAGCTATGAGCACTACTCACGCGCGCTGCAACACTTGTTTCAGTGTTTTTTTTGCTTTCTTTTGCGTTGACTGTTTTATCTCACGGGTTTACACAAAATGCTGCAAGCTAACATGTATTTTTGCGTAATGTACCTTTAATGTCCCTGGATCTTTACAAAATATTTATAAATATCAGGAAACATTTATTGCCAAAATATGTCAAACGTACAAGGAATTTGTCTTGGCGGTTGGTGCATGACAGACAGTGTAACAATAGACAACAAGACAGCAGTGCACAAGTAATAAAATAAAGTATAATGAAATGCTAATCCAATGGGTTAGTAATATTAAGCATAAAGTGCACTAGCAAACAAGTAACAAAGTGACGAGTGACGACAAAGTGATAATTTACATTTAAAGTGACGTGTGCAGTGTGAAGGGGAGTGACCGGTGGAGTGTTATAGTCACACATTTACTGTTTTATAAGAATGACAATGTATTATTCTTATAATCTTTGATAAAAGCATACCTTGTTACGTGTGACAATAGATGCTTTGAGAGTCCAGATCATTTTCCTAGTTTTACTACTATATTATTGTATTAATAAAGCCAATGCAACTGTGTGATGACTGTACGCAATAGTGATGCTGCTGTTGAAGCAGGACCCTAAAAGCTGCTCTGTTTAGTAGCTACTTTGTGCATTGTAAAGGCGTTGAACTGAATTTAACGGTAAATTAATCAGATTTAATGACGCTCTAACAAGCTTTTCTGGCCTTTAGCGTCACGTCTTGCTGAGCGTGTGCGCTGTGCCTGCTGGCCTCCAGGGGGCACACTTCTAGCAGACTTCCCCTGCAGGCAGGTCTGGTGCTGGATAAGAGCAGTCCATATAGAAGAGACTCCCACAGTGGAAATGAGGAGCTAATGTATTTTGAGAAGTGGCGTATGAAAGGGGAGCCGTCATCTGGCGTGCTGCCCGTGTTTCATGATGTGCGTTGTTGCCCGTGTGTGTATGTAGTGCTGCTGTATGAAAGACGTCAGAAGTGCATTGTTTATTGGTGGGTAATATAATCAACAATAGTAATCAACAAACTGGACCGGCCTTTTTGAAGAGGAGCTCTTTGGATGATGTGTTGACTTCCCCGTTGTGCCGAGTCGCGTGATCATAATGAATGAGTCGCGTAGGTAGCGGTGCCTCTTTGCGGGTGGTGTCCAGGTGTCTCCCCGACACCCCCAGGGACTCCTTCGGGCGCCAAGCGTCTACTTTCTATTTATTTCATTGTTTTTCACGCGTCAGCAAAGCACAGTCCAGGCCCGGGACACTTGGAAGGGTTTGGGTTTGCTGCAGGTATAAGAAGCAGAGCGCAGCAGTCCGTCATCACCCCCCCCTGCCCCACTCTGCTGATTCTGCAGGGAGGGGGGGGTATATTTGTATTGTATGAATGCTGTGTAACGACACTGACGACGATAAGGACTATCGGTAAAAGCAGCCAGACCCGCCCCCACGCCTCACACTTCCCTTCTACTGTCAGTCTTCTACCTCGCCCCCCCCCCCCGCCCGGCAGGGTGTGGCCCCACGTTGTCTCTGTTGTGATTGGCCGCCATCCCAGACTTGCTTTATCTCCTGTGGAACATGTTTCTAGCTCCACCCCAAGATAGCGCTTGGCACCAAGTAAAAAAAAATGCAAAGCCCCGCCTCCGCGATGACATCACAGCCCAAAGAGGCACGTCTGTTTTTTTAGTTTTGCTTCCAGGGTGAGCAGACAGGTAAAAGTTACTAGTAGAGGAAGGAAGCTGTTTGTTGATCTACTGGAGGTGGCGTCTGGTCTCGGGGCTCATGATGGTGCAGCGGGAGACCGGTTAAAGGGGGGGGGGGGGGTCTGTGACAGGGCAGGTTGTTTTGTTTTTTTGGAGAATGCCACGGCCGGGGCGCTACGCACCCGAGTGACGGATCATGGAGTTTCTGAAGAGCCTGGTCCCGGGTGCCATGTCGGCAGAGGGGCCCGTTGAGCACAGGGGGGGCTTGCCGCGGGAGACGGGTCCACGGCTCCTCCGCATGAGGCGCCTCAGCCTGCTGGCCATGGGACAGGCCATCGAGGAGGTCCCGGCGGAGCCGGTCCGATGGAACCGAACCGGCGTCAAAGGTACGGCGGCGCCGCGCTGACTTTGGATCGTCTTCATTCAGGAGACTTTTAAAACAGTGAATGCTTTCTGTTCAGTTGGTTGAGCTTAACATTCATGCTGACATGCACATTAATACATTCTACTGATAAATACTAATCGCAATTATCATTTTGGTTTTAATCAAACGGCCAAAATGAAATCACAATTATTCATGGAGGTTTAAGGATATTAAACTTTTCACGTTTGTTGTCGATCAGTTGAGTTAGTTTTGAAGCCAAAGTCTTAATCGCGATAAATATTGGATTAATTGTGCAGCCATAATATGATCGACTGTATAAAGCACATTTCTACACACACACACACACACACACACTATAATCAGCTGGATTCAAATGATGCAGAATCTGATTCAACAATGAACAGTGTGAGCAAAACGAACCTCCTTGCCTTCCAGCTCAGGCTGAATTAAAGCGCTTTAATATTAAACACCAAATGGATTGTCAGGACGCTCTGCAGACGTTCCTCTGAACGAGTTCAGCTCACTTAGCGCGTCTCGCTTGGCGCCAAGCGGCTAAATTGGCAGATCCTTTTCAGGTTTACAGAGTTCAGGTCACGAACCAAACGCAACATGAATGCTGAGGTTGCGCTTTGCTGGCTGTTCACCGTGAAGACGCAATCGTTTGCCAACACGTCTTTCACATGTTAACTTGCTTTGCTGTCCCGTGGCCTCCAGGAGAGTTCCGTGATTCATGTGCTTCTAATAAACATCTCTCTCATCACTAGTGAAGAGCGCTCGGTACCACGGGCCGAGTTGTCCGTCGGAGCTTTTCGGGTCAGGAGCAGGAGACGATGGACTGAATATTGGATCACTCTGGTCCCTGCAGGTCCTGCTGGCAGCGGGACCGGCCCGCTCTGGAGCGTACGAGTTGTGCTGACGATGTTAATCCCGTGGAGGAGGTGCAGCATTGTGTGTCTGGATACAGTGGTTAAGGGTTTACAGGAATGATGCGTGCGTGCAGGCCGGGCGATGACTTGCGCGGCTGCTGTTCTTGTTTCTTTGCGGCTGTGCCTGTCGGAGCACGCTCGCTCCCCGTCTGCTAGGCTCTCCCGTCCTCTGAGAGGGGGGCTAGCTACGCTAACGGCGAGGAGGCCGGCTGGTGTCTGTGCACACGCCGGGTCGGCGCTCAGGAATGCTAATGGTTATTTGATTTATCGTGGTAGCGTTTCTACCTACTGCCATTTGGGAAATCTCTTTTCAAACCTTTCCTTTCTTTCTTTCCAACTAGGAAACATCCGTCATATTAGAAACTTCTCCTTTTTCCATCATGCTGGTGGTGGCGGGGGGCACGATGGTGAGTTGTGTGTGTCAAAAGTGATTTGATAGTTTGCATTCCGGGCCGCTGTTACCTCGGGGATGTTTTTCACCGTGTCTAAATGTCAGCGCCGCTCCCTGGTTGCAGAACTGACTCTTTGCACGCAGTGACATCACCCGAGTTCCGCCGAGTTGTCGGGATGGGATCCGATTGGGAGGGTATTTGGTTAATGGGTGCAGCAGGGCTTTCCTGTTTGTGATTTGGGAGTGTTCGGAGCATGTGACCAAACGCGAGACGGCCGGACGGCTCGTTCATGGAGGCTGGACTCACTGGGCGCTCCTCCGTGGTGGCGAGACCAGGCTACAAGCAATGAGCCGACCTTTCTGTACCTGCATTAAGACGCTTAATTCACACCCCTCCACAGAGCGACGGGGTGCTTCTGACCCGAGGATGACTCCCATCACAAACGCCGCCGCTCCTCATTTCACTCGGCAAGTCTGAGAAATGAGTTTGCTTCGGCTCGGCGTGAGCGAGAAGAAAGGTGTCCGTGGTTAGCGCACGGCGCTATTTATAACGAGGTTTGATTAGTCACAGCATACTGCTAAAGGGCGTAATACCTCGGCAGCTGGCCGAGTGAAATCCGCCCAGTAAAAAGGTGCGAGCGTACCCTATTATCACAGCACTTAAATGACTAAAGTCACCATACCAGGTTATCCCACGCGGCCAACGGTACCAGCTGACCTGCTGCTCATTCCGGGATTTACAAAACCGCAGCTACGCCACAACCGGTTATCATCTTCGCCAGCCTCGGCCTGACTGAGTGGTTTGCCTCCCGAGCGGCGTGTCCTCTGCAGGCCCCGGCTCCACCGCCGAGGTCAGGGATCGAATTACAGCTCCTATCGATTACTGAGCGAGCGGGGCAGCAGGAAGTGCATCCTGCGGCCCGCCGGCAGCTCCCGTACCAGTGGGGATGGCGAGCTGGACCACCGACGCTCCCGTAACTCGCCGCGGCCGTGCACCCAGTCGAGATCCTTCGCCGAGCGAGCGCTCCTCTGCAGGAAGGCGTCGGCCGGAAGTCGGGGGGTCGGCCGGCGGGCCGACTGTTCCCACCGAGATGATGTTGTCTGTTATTCTACTGCATTCCTCAAACAATAAAGGCGGTTTACAGAAAACAGCGTGGAACCGAGCGGAGGTCTGTGCGTGTTTATCTCTGGACGCGTTGACTGATAAGGGCGACAATAAGAACTCTAATTCTGTTTTTAAACGCCATGTGTACACATTGTCGCTGCGAATTCCCCCCACTGCTCCGAGGAGCCTGATCGAAGGTCTACTTGAGACACGAGTATTAGTATTAAAGCAGGAGGTTTAAACATAAAGTGATTTGGATGAAATGTCACTTTTCAGAGTTTTGAGCGTTTCTAAAACATTGGCGATGTCACCGGACGGATTTAAGCGTTATCGCTGCGGTGGGACGCTTGTGTGTGTGTGTTTGCAGGCAGCTCGGCCTCGTTTCAGCTTAACTGGCGTAGCGGAGGACATGGCGAGAAAACAAAGCGCGTTTGTCCGCTGCGTCCCCCCCCCCCCCCCAGTGTTTGGTAAACAGGCTTCATCCCGCGCCGGACTGCAAAGTGCTTGATGTCGTGTGGATCAGTTTTTAGGATAATCAAGATTAAAATATCGCGTGATGTCCACAAAACAGTTACCCACGGCGCCAGCCCCCCCCCCATTTTTTGTTTTTTTTCAATACCACAACGTTCTTAATAAGCTGTTTACATGGCTAATAATAAGTCATATTCCTGTGACCCCCCCCCCCCTAGTGGTTTGTAGTCTTGGTTCACGGCCAAATCGGGTCGCTACCAACAACTTTACAAGCGAGCTGTCAATCAGCGTGTAGCCCCGCCCTAAAGCATCCCCTGCTTTATGGCCTGTTTGACTCTAAATGGACCATCAGTCACTAAATAAACATCATGCTGGATGAAGAAGACGTGAAACTAGAGACTGAGACATAAACTCATGTTTACAACGTTCACTGAGAGAATAAACGAGAGAGAAGTGGAGTCATTCTCTCATAGTCTTCTATAGGGCCGGGGTAGGAGGGGGAGGGGGGGGGGGGTAATACTGCTTGTAGCCTCCCAGTTGTTCTCCTCCCCCTTTCTCCCACCCTCCCTCGCCGCTCCTTCGCCTCCTGCTGCAGTCGGGGATGACGCATCACTTTTGCCGTGCAGCTTACAGGAAGTGTCGTTTTCGACAGGCCGGCCCGGGGGGGGGGGCGGCGCGGCACGGTAGCAGCTCAGACATGCGCACGCATTGCTGATCCACAGCCAGGCGGCACTCGCAGCCTTTTGATGACATCATCAACCCCCCTGCCCCCGCCCCCCTGCCCCCGCCTCCCCCAGTTGGCTGTTGAAACAAGCTCGCTGTCTCTCCAGAGAAAGGAGCAGGCATCAGAAAAAAAGGAAGAAGAGGAGGGGCTGCTTGTGAGCGAATGGGGAGGCAGGGAGTGTTTTGGGGGGGTGGGGGTGGCTGACGCACACACACACACACACACATACACACACACACACCACAGGAAGAGGAGCAGAGGGAATATTGCTGTGCATTGTTGGGACTTGTTCCGTGCTGCTTTTCTGGAGGAAAGTTCTCGCCTCCCTGGATTGTTTTGCCGCTCTGAGATCTGGGATGGGGGGCCGCGGTCGCCGGGCTGGAATACTTGTCTAACTGACCAGGGAGGGGGGTCTCCGCTCTCTCTCGCCCTCTCTCTCCAGTTGGAGGAAGCATCTCTTCCCTGGGGAGTCTTGTCACGATGCTGCCTCTAAACAGCACCTGTGGAGGCTAGCGTTCAGCTCCATCCTTTCGGGGGGGGGCAGGTGATTTCTCTGTGGAATGAAAGTGACGGGAGCTGCGTAGACTTTCTGCTGGGGAGCCCAACTTTTTGTTTTTGGAGAGCGGGAGGGATAGAGGCACCATGCTGAGCCTGCAGGACTCGGTCTTCTTTGAGATCAGCATCAAATCTCTGCTCAAGTCGTGGAGCAGCAGCTGTGAGTACCAGCTTGCACACATCTTTACCCCCCCCCCCGGCAGCGGTGTTGTACTCGCTGGTGTGCGTCCCGGTCTGTGAGAGTTCTTACCCCCTCCCTCTGACACCGTGGTTATTAATGGAGCTGTCAGGATGAAGGATTATGTTTAGTCCCGGTTTTAGCCGGGCTCGTCTGATGTGTATGCAGGTGGCAGTGAATAACCCCCCCGCGCCCCCCCCCCCCCTTATCCTGCTCCTCCTGCTCCTGCTTGTAGATCAGGCTTCTATTGAGGAGCATCTGCAGAACACTCTCTGTACCTTCATCAGCGTCGCTCTCTTCACTCTCCATTAGCAGCCCCCCCCCCCCCCCCCCCCCATCTTACTTGCCTCCTCCTTTTAAAACCCTCTCTCGCCGTTTCCCTCTGGGGCCGCTAATGTTTCCCTCCTATTGATCCGTCTTCTGGTTCCCGCCTATTATTAGCTTCCCAATCGTATTACATCAGAAATAAAGGCGCTTCCGTCTCTGAAGAGCATCGACGGACGGCGGTTGGAATTGTCCAATTACGTTTTTTTTACACTTGGACATTGTTTCCTGTGCAAAAAATACTTTTTACAAATTAGTCGTGCTGTTAGCACGAGGCTTCAACTCCGTCCAACGCCGGCGTGAGCCGGCCGACCACGGTTCTATCCAATCTGCACTCGCGTGAATCCGAAGCAACATGGAACTACATCGCCGTAGTTTGACGCGGGCGAGGACGCCGTAGTTTGACGCGGGCGAGGACGCATGGAGTAGAGGGGGTTCGCCGGGAGCCGCAGGGTTGGCGGTTCGAGCCCCGGCTGTGTGTGTGTGTGTGTGTGTGTGTGTGTGTGTCCCTGAGCAAGACGCCCAACCCCTACTTGCTCCACGCTGTGTGGGGGGGTAAATGCAGAGAACAATTTCCTGTACGTGTAAAATAATACTGGCTTCTTCTTCAGTTTCTCACTGGTTCTCTCCCACCAGTCAGTCCTCCCCATTAGAGCTGTGGTTCCAGTCTCGCAGTAGATATCGAACCGCTGCTGGATCAGAAACCAGCGAAAGCTTCTAAGTTTCTCCAGGTCCTTGTTAGCAGCACCTTCATGTCCCTGTAGAGTTTGTGCAGTGTATATGTATCATATTTTTAAAATAGAAAAGACTACGTACACAAGAAGATCAAACAATCATTTGCAATCGAAAGGTGAAGTTTGAGATCGTTTTAAAGTCGCTGTAATGATCATTTGCGTAAACTTTGAATTCCCAAATCTGGTGGAGGAGTCAAATACGGACGAAAGGAAGTCGTCATGAGGGCTTTGAGGAGACTGGTCCCACGGAGGCTCTGATTGGCTGAGAGGAGCTGGCTATGTGACATCATCGGGGGGCTGTTGGTGCAGCACAGTAAACAAAGAGCTCTGTGCTGCTGGACAACTTGACCACAACACGGCCAACGCTCTCCACACAAGTCATCTCTAATGGACCATAATATTAAAAGGAATTATATAACTGCTTTAATTTAAATTAGATTTAAATCTTATTCAGTAAAATCACTTAGTGATGTTAGTGGGCTTCATCGTGTGCAAAGCAATTGTGCGGCAGTTCTTCATGTTATAGATGTATTGAAAAAATAATTGATTATGAATATAATAGTAGTTTATAATGTTTTTTTCTTTAAAGGTCAATGCTAACAGCTGATTCTGCAAAAAGAACTTTACAGAATGAGTTTCATGAGTTAATTTGAGTATATTCTGTGTATATTTTGCGAGGTCTAAAAGCTTTTCCTTCGCTTGAAGGAACCCGACGGAGTCTTTCCTGCACTCTGCTCCTCGGAGGTTGTTGCACTGTTTGGAATGTGTGAGGGTTTCTATGACAACCAGGAAGAAACGGAACAAGGCCTCCTTTCCTGGGGGGGAAGGAGGTCAAGGGTCACTCTGCGAATGTTCGTCCATTGTAGACCAAACCGGTCTGATGATTATTATGATGCAGTTTTCGTTTTATTGGTCCTTAAGTGCTTGATACGGTCATTTAGGGTTAGTTTAGTTTGTGTTAACTAGAATATTAACTACTGACTATTTTTCCCGCCTGTATTAAAAGTAGTAATTGCTGTTGATAAATACGTAATAACTTGATTCAGTATTTACTTATTACTCTACTACTCTAAAACTCAAATGATGAGAGAGATCCGAGATATAAATCCTAAACGCTGGCCTGATATTTTACTCCTCGTCGATTTGCCTTTTGCGATTTGAATAAGACAACCAAATGATCCGCGTCGCATGCAAACCTGCAGAGTTCATTTGTGCGTTTCATAAAACTCTGAAGCCTCGGCCTTCTTTAGCTCAACTCATTTCTGTCAGTTCCTGGCTTTTTTTCCGGTTTCACGTAATCTTCTCCCCCACACGGTGACAACAAACGCCCAGGAAGCGTGACGCCACCGGCAGCGATAACACGGACTGTCGGTGTGTTTCAGCCTCTTATGATGCAGTGAGGTTCAGACGCTGAGTTTGTAATTTCTCTCTCTCTCCCTTCGCAGCTTCTGCGCCGGTCAGCAGCGTGAGTAGACGCCGCGCCACCTCCTCGGCGACCCCCCCCTCGTGGGAGAAACCCAGCGTAGCCGCCATGTCGAGCATCACCATCGACCCGGAGCTCAAGCCCGGGGAGTTCGTCATCAAGAGTCTGTTCGCCGAGTTCGCCGTGCTGGCGGAGAAGAAGATCGAGATGGTGATGGCCGAACCGCTGGTGAGTCCAGACGCACCGCGCGTCATGTGACACGTCTCCAACCATGTGACCCATCGACTGACCCTTCTATCGTCCGTCCCTCCACAGGAAAAACCTCTGTCCCGATCCCTGCAGAGAGGAGAAGATGGACAATTCGACCAGGTCAGTTTCCCTCACTCGTCCCGGGGCACCATCCCGATTTCTGCGTGTGCGCGCGATATTCGACTCCCACTCCTAGACCCCCCCCCCCCCCCCCCCACTCGTCTGTCTGTACCTCATTTACCCCCCCCCCCAAAACGCTTTGTTTGCTTTGCGACACAAACACCACGAGGACGCCAGCGCTGTGGATCCAGCTGCCCTGATGGTGCGTGAGGGGGGAGCGAGGAATCGCTGCGTCATCAGTAAATCCGCATCAGGTGCTGGAGCGCATCAGGCCGGGCGCCGTGAGAAGGGGGGGGCAGGGGTTGCATAAATCCTCCTGGCCCGGGATCCATCCATCTCCTGGTCCACCCTCTCCTTTCTCACGCGGGACTGGGCCTTAAATACGAAGGCACGCGGAGGCGACGCACAGATTCTTACGGCCACCTCGAGAGGCAACGCGCGTCCTGATGATGTCGCCCCTCAGAAGACGGCGACCGGCTGCCCTTTGACCTCTTTAGTAAACTGACGAAGCGGCAACAACCGACACAAAGGGTCTGTGTTGCTGCCTCCCCTTTCTGAAGACAGAAAACGAGTCGTCAGTCGCGGTCATCTTCTGTTAACACGACCGAGGTCTGAAGGTGGAAGTATTCACATGACTGATTGTAGTGTTTGTTTCCCCCCCAGTTAATAAGCTCTATGAGCTCCATAGCAGAACACTGTTTGCCCTCCCTGCTGCGCACGCTGTTCGACTGGTACCGGCGGCAGAGCGGCACCGAAGACGAGTCGTACGAGTACCGGCCTCGCTCCAGCACCAAGTCCAAAGGGTGAGTCCCCCTCTAGCCCCGCCCCCCCCCGTCCTCCCAGCGGATCACTAGTGAGTGGTTTGTTTTCTCTCCGCTCTGCAGGGACGAGCAGCACCGGGATAAAGATTACCTCCTGGAGCGGAGGGACTTGTCCATAGATTTCATTTTTTGTTTGGTTTCGGTGGAGGTTCTGAAGCAGGTGAGCGACCCGATGCTGACGTGCACCTGTGTGACCCACTTCAGGTTAAACGTTCGGCTTTCTCACTATCATTGAATTTGATTCGACTGGGACGGATGTAGTTTCCCCGCTGATCGGAGTCTGCTTTTAGTAGTTTTTGGAACGACTGTCTCAGGGTTAGTCTTGTCTTTCCTTGCGGGGGGGGGGGCTGTTTCTAAGGCGGACATTTGTCCCGGTTAAGTGGCCCGTGGCTTCGCTCCGGTGCGTCGGCTAAAGAATGGCAGCAAAGAGTCACTGATGGTTGCGTGTTTTGCGTCACAGATTCCTCTTCATCCAGTGCCAGATGTTCTAGTACACGAAGTCCTCAACCTGGCCTTCAAGCACTTTAAACACAAAGAGGGGTAAGTACTCTATTTCTATATGATCACTGTGTCCCTATAAGCCGTCATTAGCGACACCTCCAGGAAGGTTATTTGGCTTTTCATGCAGGTCCTTCTGTTTCGCTTTTAAGGTCCTGAATTATTTGCAGCTGGGACAGTCAAATGTTTTTCAATCAACAAAAGTTATTAAAATGGGGGAACTAGTTATCTTGGTAAACGTATTTTTTCTTACCTGTAAGGTCCTAAACGGAAGAGAAAAATATTTTCAAGGATCACTTTTCAAAGTTAACTTTTCTTTCTGTGAAAACATGTTTGAATGTTGTTTTTTGGTCCGGATCATGTGATCTCCTGTTTGTTGTTGTATTGCTCATTTTGGCCACTAGAGGCCCGAGTGCACCACTTCCTCCTCTTCTAAATGGGACTCAAATCATTTAAATCAGTTTAATTTACACAGCTATTCAACGTCAAAACTCATTTATTTCTTCTGTCTTCACAGATGAAAAAAAGGCTTAAAATATATATTGCAAAAAATCTTCCCACATGTTTAACACATTAAAAAAAAATATATATCTTTGGTCATCCCGGCAGAATCCTTCCTCTGGCCTTCTCGGGTTTCTGTTTCACGTCTTCAAAATAAAGCTGCATTTCTTTCATACTTAATGACTAGTGCCTTGATTGACAGGTACTGTGGCCCAAACACTGGCAACGTGCACATCATCGCAGACCTGTACGCCGAGGTCATCGGGGTCCTCACACACTCAAAGTGAGCCGACTCTCTCTCTCACACACACACACACACACACACGCCTTAGGTTTTCCACAGTGTAGATGTGTGTCTGCGTATTTATATTTGTGCGCTCAGGTTTCAGGCGGTGAGGAAGAAGTTCATCACGGAGCTGAAGGAGCTGCGGCTGAAGGAGCAGAGTCCCTACGTGGTGCAGAGCGTCATCAGCCTCATCATGGGCATGAAGTTCTTCCGCGTCAAAATGTACCCGGTGGAGGATTTTGAGGCTTCTTTTCAGTTCATGCAGGTAAAATAGTCTTTTATGTTGCTACGGTTACCGTGGCTGGAATGATTGTTAAAGTACTCCTGACGTTGTTTATGTAATGTTCAAAGGTGGGGGTGTGGGTGGTGTATTTTTCATTCTCACATATTGACTGGTATTCATTCTTTTCAGTTCACCAAAGAATACATGCGTTTTCCTCTCGCCGGTAGTTTTACATGTATGCATGCATGTTTCTCATCATCTGAGCGTGTCGGAACACTTTCCATCACAGATGAATTCGTATTCATGATGCGCAGAACTCGTGTCACCTCTGGGAATTGTTTAGACCCAGCGAGTTTTTTAAATCGTATCCGTTGTTAAAATGTATTTCTTGTTCCCCTGAGCGGGTTTGCTTTGTGGCATTAAGATTTAATTAATGAAAGTGCGTTTTTTCCAATATTCTGCATGCCAAAATCAACCGAATCCACATTTTCACGTTTACATGTTTCCACCTTCTTTCAACCCCACAAGAAGAAGCTGCAGTGGTTGAGACACGCATGTGTTAAAGCCGTCTTATTGATCTGCCCTCTTCTCCCAGTTTGTCTCATTCTCCTCATGTACTCTCCACTCGTGTGGCTTTGATGCCCTCCTCTAGGAGTGCGCCCAGTACTTCCTGGAGGTCAAGGACAAGGACATAAAGCACGCGCTGGCCGGCCTCTTTGTGGAGATCCTCATCCCCGTCGCCGCCGTGAGTAAACGTTCCGTCTTCGCGCGCTTCTCCCTGCGTGGACGTCTCTGACGAGTCCTTCTGTCCCCAGGCGGTGAAGAACGAAGTCAACGTGCCGTGCCTGAAGAACTTTGTGGAGATGTTGTACCAGACAACGTTTGAACTGAGCTCCAGAAAGAAGCACTCCTTGGTAGGAACATCCCATTTTATTTTTACTTCCATTCTGTGTTTACCTCGCCGCATCTCTACGGCTTCTGTCAACTTCTCCGTTGTATCAGAGAGTAGGTAAATTAATACATGTAGATCTGATATAGTCAGCAAAGATGCACCGATGGCAGGTTTTGGTTTTGGAGGATCAATTCTGATTGTGATATCCTCGACGTTCCAGTCATGGAACGCATTTTAATTCAATGGAGTGTTAATAATAAAACATTCACTTTTAAATTACTCCCATTTCCACCCAAACTGGACTAAGATACAGGATTTCCACAAATCTTGGAATAAAAGTTACTGGACAAATTCCCTCTAGTGACCAGCAGGGGGCGACTCCTCTGCTCCCATAGACGTCTATGAGGAAATGACTCTACTTCTCTGTAGTGACCAGCAGGGGGCGACTCCTCTGCTCCCATAGACGTCTATGAGGAAATGACTCTACTTCTTTATTTATTCCCTCAATACACATTGTAAACATGAGTTTATTGTCTCAGTCTCTAGTTTCAAGTCTTCTTCAACACAGCATGATGTTCATTTAGTGACTGATGGTCCATTTAGGGTCAAACTGACCATAAAGCAGGGGACGCTTTAGGGCGGGGCTACACGCTGATTGACAGGTCTCTAATGGATCATTAAGAAGGAAATGCTTTAGGGCGGGGCTACACGCTTGACAGGTCTCTATGTCCTCCCGAGTCCAGATGTGCGCTCTCAGCTTCGGAGCTTTTGTGTTCAGATGTTAAATTCCTCAGCGACTCGGTGGTCCTTCCCGCTCTCACCCGCTCTGTCCCCCCAGGCTCTGTATCCTCTGGTGACCTGCCTGCTGTGTGTCAGTCAGAAGCAGTTCTTCCTCAACAACTGGCACATCTTCCTCCAGAACTGCCTCTCGCACCTGAAGGTACCCCCTCCCCCCCCTGTCACCCTCAATCCATCCCATGAAGTCTGGAGCACAGCGGCAGCGTTGTTCAGATTTGAGTATTTGTTTTAGGGCACATTGCTCGGCCTTGACGACCTCAGAGGTCTTATGACTCGTGTTGTGCAACGTTAGGATAATAACATTTTATCTGTTTTCTGATTGCAATGTGAAAACGTCACCTCTGTGGTTGTGTCTCATAATAATGTACTTCACCCTAATTTACAACAGCCGAATCCGGATATGAATAGCACTTGATTTTATAACGTAATAGTGTTGTTTAGTTAAAAAAAAGAAGCTTTAATTTATGCTCAGACGACCAAATCCAAACATGAAAGATTTTCACATAAAATGAAAGCGTAGCATCAATAAACTCTCAAACTTTACATGTTCAATCACCTCAAGTGCTGTTTTATCTCCGGCCCGTTAATGACTCCCTGCAAACCAATTACCAACCGATCAAACCCACTTTCCTCGTGTCCCTGACCCCCGCCAGCCGCTGCAGTGGTTGTGATTGTGTGATCTTGTGGTGGATACACTTCTGTCTTTGTGATGGTGGTTTCCGATGGTCTTCTTCTCTACGCTGTCGTAATCATTAGAGGCGTCAGTCGCTCTGCGTTGTGCTGATTCTTTGATCCAGATCCCTTTTCCGATTGTGTGGCGGCAATAATTTACTCTTGCAAAGGAGGAGCGATGTTCGTGGTGTTTGTATGCAGTTCTCTTCTTCAGTGTCAGTGTGTCACTACAGTAGATGGAGCAAAGCGATGTTCTGCTCTGGACTACTTTAGAATCTATATCTGTCCATATACATTCCATATATATATATATATATATATATATATATATATATATATATATATATATAGTATGTATTTTGTTCTCTACAGACTCCATTTCACAAACAGGGATTGAACCTCTGAGTTCACCTGTTTAAAGGGTTATTTCAGATTCACCTGTCACACAATAACAAACTAACAGATGGATTCAGCGGTGGATCAACGGCTCCTGTGAGGTTAAATGTCAGTTTTTGAGAATGGAGTCTGGTGTCTTTGTAGGGATCAATATTACAGCTTCAGGCCCATTCAGAAAGGTTCTTCTTGATGGCGCCTCATACTGAAGTAACACACTGACAGCTGCTCAGAGCTTCGATCCTTCAACACATCCAAACTCCGCCTTCTATGCACCTGATGCAGAATGGAATGCATGTGATCCATTCAGCTCTTAATTGGGTATTTTACGATCTAATGACAGCATATTTGGGCTGCGCTGCTTTAGAGCGGATTAAGGCACCGCCTCGTCGGCGTGATGACTGGGCCGACTGCTGATTTGGCTCCTCCCACTTCCCATTCACACCTCCTTAAATGTTCTTTTCCTCATGCTTCTGTTTTCCCCTTTCATCCACTCCTCCCTTCGTTTGTCTGCTTGTCAAACTGTATTTTTAAAGTCCACAGCACATCTTTGCTTTGTCACTTTAAAGATTTTATTTCTCCATCATAGTAGATGTAAACTGTTACCCTTTATTACTGGCATGCACTAATAAATCCACCAGCTTGTGTTTTATCACTGGACAATAGTATCAGTTTATACCATCCGAGATACTTTGCACTGTTTTTTTTCCATATTTGTTTAGTTTTTGCCTTCAACTTGCATGTGCCCCCCCCCCTCCCTCAAACCCTTCATTCTTTGTCCCTTGTCATGTGATCTTTCTTTCTCACGTCGACTCACTCCAGATGCCGTCTAACAACAGCATCCGCAAGCAGATTGAGACGCTGCAGGTGAGTTTCTCTGGTTGGCGGCGAGCTGCACCCTGTGCCCCACGGCCCCCCCCCCCCCTCCGGCCCCCCAGAACAGGGAGCTAGATTATGAATCCCACTATGGCGAACGGCCTCGACTCCGCCTCTGAGTGAGGAGTGAAGGTCTCCGTCCGAAGCCCAAACTCCTGTTATTATTTTAAGCTCTTCCTCCGTTGCCGTGGTTACGATGGTATATCGAATGGTGCCTTTGGAAGATGTTCCCACTCATGTTCAGACATGTACGTCTACATGATGCCAACGGTTTGTGTGGTGCATTTAAATAGAACTTTAAATGCATGGTCAGTTTGTTTGTTAAATCCTTTGATGTGGAGACGTTCGCTTGACTCATTTCATCCACTTCATGGTGCAGATTTCCTCGGGCGCTTTTTTTTGCGTCAGCAGGATTTGCGATGCCGCGACCAGAAAGTAGATCGGCAGCGGCTCTCCTGATTGGCTGCTGTGGGCAGCGAGTTGTTCTCCTGTGGTGTCATGTGACCTCTCGGGCTCTGTTTTTGAGCCGGATTGTGTTTTGGGCCGGTGGTGATGACTGTTGTCTGATATTTAGTTGCATACTTTGCTTTGTTTGACTTGCATTTGACTTTTTATTGCGTGGTAATCGCTTGCTTAGGTTTGGATTATTAAATCCAAATAACCAGAAAAATACATGAAGTACGATACATCAGTTATGGGTTAATGAAGTTACTGAGATATTTGAAATGGATGAAACCGTCCCTTTGCCAGCTGCAACATTGGTTACATGTTAATGCATCAGTGATGATATAACTAACATGTATTATTCTGCATCATGAGTACCAAAAATAGCTAATAGTAGCGACATCACTAAAAACATTTCAGATTAGTGCCTCCTTTTTTATATTCGCAGACTGTCGTAGAAATATATTTCTCCCCAATCTGGAGAAAACCTTTTGTTAGTCCCACAGCGAGGACAGAGAAACATCCGGAGACCAGTTCAAATATAAAACATGCTATAGCCCAAATTATTGCACTTGTTAAATATTGATGCACAGAATAATATATAAATGTATTAATATTATTAATAGCAGATGCTGCACTCAGACCGTCACTCGTCAAACAAACATTACTATTATTATAATGCTCACTTGTAACTTCACTTAATTGCTTGTAGCAATAAGAGTTGGATCAATAAGCGTAATGAGGTCAGGCTGCTTCTCACGTTTTATCAGAAGGTGAATCCGGTTTGCATTCACTTGGACTCTGACAGCTTGTGCTCATGTTCTTTATAACGCTAACGTGGCGATCAGTCTGAAAAGTGGTCGTCATGGTTACTGAAGAGACGCTCCTCGTGGCAGCGCGTGGACTTTTAACTGTTCAGACACGTTCACGCGTCTCTTCTATCTGCAGAACAAGGACCCCAAGATGTCTCGCGTGGCTCTGGAGTCTCTGTACAGGCTGCTGTGGGTCTACATCATCCGGATCAAGTGCGAGAGCAACACTGTCACCCAGAGGTCAGTCCCCCGTCCCGCTGTGGATCCGACGCCGAGTACCAGTCCGCCAAACATTTTCCCTTATTGTTGAGCAGCAAGATGAGCTTAAACCCCTCTTCCCTTTTCTCCTCCCCTCCAGTCGACTACTCGGCATCGTTTCAGCACTTTTCCCCAAAGGCTCTCGCAGCGTGGTCCCCAGGGACACGCCGCTCAACATCTTCGTCAAGATCATCCAGTTCATAGCTCAGGTAAGTTCCGGCGGTCTACAGACACAATGAGGCAAACCGTCCTCCACGGTCCGACAATCAACAACTCTGGTCTGAGAGTTTGATACGGAATAAAATAGAACCCATCTATCGTTGAGCCTCAGTCGTACTTGGACGCTGAGAAGGTCGCGAGCTGAATTGTGTGACCTTTGTTTCTCTCTGGACCCCTGCAGAGGGCAGATCATGTGACTTTGCCCCTCCAGGATAAATCCCACGTTTACACTCGTGTTTTCAGCCGCGCGCCTGTGAGCCGGTGCTTGATTTTACAAGCCGGTGTAAACGCCGTTAGTGAGTGCTGCTCCGTTGGTCCCTACAGGAAAGACTGGACTTTGCAATGAAGGAGATCATCTACGACCTCCTGTGTGTGGGCAAGTCTCACAAGACCTTCGCCATCAATCCGGAGGTAAAGTAGCGACTCGAGGCTCTGAGCTGGTCGTTTCGTGGCTTCCTCCCGTCACCACCTCTCGTCCTCTCAACAGAGGATGAACATCGGCCTGCGAGCCTTCCTAGTGATCGCCGACAGCCTCCAGCAGAAAGACGGGGAGCCTCCGATGCCCACGACCGGGATCATCATGCCCTCCGGCAACACCCTGCGCGTCAAGAAGATCTTCCTCAACACCACGCTCACCGACGAAGAGGCCAAGGGCATCGGTGGGCTGGCTTCTTCACGCCTTTCCAGGGGTAGAAAAGGCCGTTTTCAGTCAAGATAATTGGGTGATCGTTGCGGGTGTTTTCCAGGCATGTCGCTGTACTACCCTCAAGTGAGAAAGGCCTTGGATAACATCCTGCGCCACCTGGACAAGGAGGTGGGACGCTCCATGAGCATGACCAACGTGCAGATGTCCAACAAGGAGCCCGAGGACATGATAACGTGCGTCGTGCGCCCACTTGATTTTGTGTTGCCGCCGACCAGAAGTTCTCACGAGCCGCGTTTTCGTTCCACAGGGGGGAGCGGAAGCCCAAGATCGATCTGTTCCGCACGTGTGTGGCCGCCATCCCGAGGCTCATCCCAGACGGCATGAGCAGACTAGACCTGATAGAGCTTCTGGCCAAGTAACCCCCCCACCTTCCTCCTTCAACATCAGTCTGCTGTCCACCACGGCTCTCTAACGCCCCCGGCCCCACTCTGCAGGCTCACCATCCACATGGACGAGGAGCTGCGTGGCCTCGCCTTCACGACGCTCCAGGCCCTGATGGTGGATTTCCCGGAGTGGCGCGAGGACGTCCTCTCGGGGTTTGCGTACTTCATCGTTCGGGAGGTGACGGACGTCCACCCCACGTTGTTGGACAACGCCGTCAAGATGCTGCTGCAGCTGCTCAGCCAATGGAGGCAGGCGGTGCAGAGCAGCAACAAGGGCCACGAGGCCAAGGTTGGTGACGGAAACACAACTGAAACGCAATTAAACACGTTAGACCACAAGGAAGTGGTGCACAGTATCAGTATTACAAGAACCAATACTTGATTTAAAAGGATTATGACTGGGCGATCAAATGTAAAACCTGTTCTTGACTCAGGAACACTCAGTAGAACGTTCTGATGTTCCCTCCTTAGGGCTCCGGCGGCGGCCGCTCTCTGTCCCTGGAGCGCACCCCTCTGCTGGGGGTGCTGCACGTGGTGGAGGGTCTGGCTCTGGTGGTGCTCTGCAGCTGCCGCCCCGCCACACGCCGGCTGGCCGTCAACGTCCTCAAGGAGGTCCGTGCGCTGCACACAGCACTGGGCATCTGCAAGGTGATTACTCCACCCAGTAGTCGCAGCCAGAGACTTTGCTCGGGTACTGCTGCTTTCTTTTCTCACATTTGTTCCCTCTGCCTCAACCTTTTTTAGGGGGATGAGGAATTGGCCATCGACGTAATGGACAGATTAAGTGCGTCTGTGCTGGAGAGTTTTATTCATCTCACGGGAGCAGACCAGGTATTCATCTCTTCTCCCTACTCGCGGCGTCGTAAACCCCGGACCAAGGTTTTTCCTCCGGGGCTGAATTGGTCTCTTCTCTGCAGACCAACCTGCTGTACTGTCCCAGCGGCATCGATCTGCAGACGCTGGCGGAGTGGAGCTCGTCTCCCATCAGCCACCAGTTTGACGTGGTGAGCCCCTCGCACATCTGGGTGTTTGCCCACGTCACCCAGGGACAGGACCCCTGGGTCATCAGCTTCTCCAGCTACCTGCGGCTGGAGAACCTGCCCAAACATTGCCCCACCGCCCTCAACTACGCCTGGATGTTCGCCTACACGCGCCTGCAGCTTCTGTCTCCGCAAGTCGACGTCAAGTAGGTGTTCCCCAGGAGGCCGCTGTGTCGTTTGTCCCACGTGTAGCATGTGTCCTCTCTGACGTCTCTCGCTACCCCCGTCCCTCTTCAGCAGCCCCATCAACGCCAAGAAACTGAACAGTCTGAACAGCAGCGACTCCTACGTGGGCCTCTGGAGGAACTACCTGATTCTGTGCTGCAGCTCCGCCTCCTCCTCCCCCTCCATGTCCTCGTCGTCCTCCACCTCCGGCTCCGTCCGCTGCTCCCCGCCTGAGACGCTGGCGTCCACGCCGGACAGCGGCTACTCTTACGACTCAAAGGTCAGCGGCGTAGCCAGACGCGCCATTGTCAAGAGTTCCTTCTCCCCGGCGGTCACTGAACACATCATGTGACAAACGCAAAACATTTGAATGTTTCATCACATACATTTTATTCTACTCGTCTCATTTAAAACCTTGTCCTTGTTTTACCTGAATTTAACAATCCTAAAACCATCGTGTGTCTCCTGTAGATTGTTGGTACTCCGTCCCCCTCCTCCCTCTTCAAACACATCGTTCCCATGATGCGCTCGGAGAGCATGGACATCACGGAGTCTCTGGTGTTGGGGCTTGGCAGGACCAACCCTGTGGCCTTCAGGTACACGGCGCACACAGTGAAATCGGAGTGGATCTGGGGAACGATGGACTGAATGGAGTTAACATTAGATTCAGGAATTGAACTGACCTTTTAAATGTGCTTTTAGTGTTGTCGTGCACACGTCGGATGCTTCGTATGCTCCACCTTGAAATACTAACGTATAACTGTTAATGCCCGTCCTTCAGAGAGCTGATAGAGGAGCTCAACCCCATTATAAAAGAAGCTCTGGAGAGGAGACCTGAGGTAAGTGCAGCGCACCGATGCGCTCTGCCGCGCTTCTCTGTTCTGCAACTATTCCAATTTTCCGCCGTGTTTCCTCCTTAGAACATGAAGCGGCGCAGGCGCCGGGACATCCTCAGGGTCCAGCTGGTCCGGATATTTGAGCTGCTGGCCGACGCCGGCGTCATCAGTCAGATGTACGTAGCCCACCGCTTCAGTTCGCGCTTTTACATCCGGCCGCGTGGTGACCTCTCCTCTCGCGTTCCTGATGTGCAGGACCAGCGGAGGGCTGGACGGGGAGAGCCACTCTCTGAACAGCACGCTGCTGGAGTACGTGGATCTCACCAGGCAGCTGCTGGAGGCCGAGAACGACAAGGACTCGGACACGCTGAAGGACATCCGCTGCCACTTCAGCGCGCTGGTGGCCAACATCATCCAGAACGTTCCAGGTACCGGATCACATCGCGCGTTGTCACGCCGGCGCTCTGACGCGACCCGTGCGCTTACTTTTCCTTGACGATTGTGTCCAGTGCACCAGAGGAGGACCATCTTCCCCCAGCAGTCGCTGAGACACAGCCTCTTCATGCTGTTCAGTCACTGGGCCGGCCCCTTCAGCATCATGTTCACCCCCCTGGACCGCTACAGCGACCGGAACATGCAGATCAACCGCCACCAGTACTGCGCTCTGAAGGTACGCGCGCAGGGACGCGGAGGACTCGGCGACGCACTCGACACCCGCTGACAACTAACGCCTCCTTTCACCCCGCAGGCCATGTCGGCGGTGTTGTGCTGCGGCCCCGTGGCCGACAACGTGGGCCTCTCCTCCGACGGATACCTCTACAAGTGGCTGGACAACATCCTGGACTCCCAGGACAAGAAGGTGAGAAGCTCCCGGGGCCTCTGGACCCGGCGGGAACCGAGGATGTTACAGATGTGAGGGAATAATCTTAATGAATGCAACTGCAGAGGGAGAGTTTTATATGTATTCTGTAGTGGCGCTTTTCTGTACGACTCCCCGACACGTAACACGGGTTCACGTGGTGCCGCCCAGTGGTGTTCAGCAGTGTTCAGTGTAAAAGTTCATACTAATGCTCCTTATTGCAGACATCTTGGCAGCATCGTTTCTTGCTAACGCTGATACTGAATATGAAAACGCTCTCCTGAGATATCGACTCGTTAAAAACCAGTGGGTTTAGAGGAAGTGAATACCTGCTGTCTCACAGCATCTGCGGGGTCCTCCTCCTCCTCCTCTTCTTCATCCAGGTCCACCAGCTGGGCTGCGAGGCCGTGATGTTGCTTCTGGAGCTGAACCCGGACCAGAGCAACCTCATGTTCTGGGCCGTGGACCGCTGCTACACGGGCTCTCGCCGCGTGGCGGCCGGCTGCTTCAGGGCCATCGCCAACGTCTTCCACAACAGGTGCCTCACGTTTCCCCGTTGTTTGTTTGTTTGTGTGTTTGTTAAATTCTTTGTTCGTTGGCCCGATTGAAGCCGGAGGACTGCGACTCAAACGTCACGTTTTCCTCTCAGGGATTACCAGTTTGACACTGTGGTGCTGCTGAACCTGATTCTGTTCAAGGCGGCGGATTCTTCCAGGGAGATCTACGAGGTGGCCATGCAGCTGCTACAGGTCCGAGCAGCTCTCCGTTCACCGCCAAGCAGGCTGAGGGCCGTTCCATTAAAGTTTGGTTTTGTGTGTAACTCGTAGATCCTGGAGCCAAAGCTGTTTCGTTACGCCCACAAGCTGGAGATCCAGCGGACGGACGGCATCTTGACTCCTCCTTCGGCGCTGCCTCACCTCTACTCCGTGTCTTACTACCAGCTGTCCGAGGAGCTGGCCAGGACCTACCCGGAGCTCACTCTGCCCATCTTCTCAGGTCTGTAGCCCCGTGGTAGCTTGAAGGTCTTTTCTGAAGGCCACGACTGCCTGATATTGCAGATACCGGATGCTCGTATGAGAAATAAGAACACGTCTAGTCGTTGTTGTTTGTTACTACTCATTTTACTCGACTGCAGCATTAACGGGGAAAGTTGTGACTGTTGTGACTCCGCCCCCCCCCTCACTGCCCCGCCCCCTCCAGAGGTGAGCCAGCGGATCCAGACGGCGCACCCCGGCGGGCGGCAGGTCATGCTGCACTACCTCCTGCCGTGGATGAACAACGTGGAGCTGGTCGATTTGAAACCGGCCACGCGGCGACCAGATGACGGCGGCGGCGAGGAGGACGTGGAGGAGGAGGAAGAGGCGGCGGTGCGCGAGCGTGAAGCCGCGATGGTCAACAGCCGGCGCTGGCTCCGCGGGGAGGGGTGGGGCTCCCCCCGCGCCACAACCATGGTGCTCAACAACCTCATGTTCATGACCGCCAAGGTGAGGCGCGCGCGCGCCGGGCTCGCCGTTCGTTGATCCGGGCGCCGCGTTGCTTCATCCGTTGCTCTGTTGATCCGTCAGTACGGAGACGAGTTCGCCTGGTCGGAGATGGAGAACGTTTGGACTACGCTGGCGGACAGCTGGCCCAAGAACCTCAGAATCATCCTGCACTTCCTCATCGGCATGTCGGGGGTCAGCAGCGAGCCCAGCCTCCTGCCCTACGTGAGTCCCGGGAGGTCGCCATCACGCCGCCGCTGCTCCTCGCACCTCTGACCGTGTGTGTGTGTGTGTGTGTGTGTCCAGGTGAAACGAGTGGTGGTCTATCTGGGCAGAGATAAGACCATGCAGCTGCTGGAGGAGCTGATGTGCGAGCTCGAGTTGACGGACCCGGTCTGCTCTGCCGTCACTCACATGGACAACCCCCCTTACTACCGCATCACCTCCAGCCACAAGATCCCCTCCGTCACCTCCGGTACGCAAGACGCCGCTCCGCCTCGCGTCCGTGCCGCCTCGCGTCTTCGATGCCAGGTGGTGTAACGTTTTTCTTCTCCCTCAGGAACAACCTCCAGCACCAACACCATGGTGGCAGGAAACGATGGTCACCACCACGACGGCAAGGTCAAGGACTCCAACATGGAGGACAGGTACGAGCGGGTCAACGGGCCCCAGTAAGAACCACCCGAAAACACAAGAATGCGTTTTGAGTTGAAGGAATTCAAGTATTGGGACCTTTCTCAATTTGCCTGGCAACACATTTAATGTATATTAAGGCTGTGAGTTTTAATCTCAGCTCCTAATAAGTCTACAGTAAGATCAAGTAGAACTTATCGGGACTCACAGAAATGATGATGCCGGAGTTCATGCGTGTCTGCTCTGCAGCTACACCCACCTGGACATCTACAGCGGCCTGAACAGCAACCTCAACCGCCAGCACCACCGCCTCGAGTCCCGGTACAGCAGCAGCTCCGGAGGCTCCTACGAGGAGGAGAAGAGTAAGAACCCCCTCCACCCCCTTCCTTCCTTTTGGGCGCCATCACACCAGAAGCCCCTCCCACCACCGACACGCCTGCTTCTTTCCCCTCCTCCAGGTGACTCCATGCCGCTTTACGCCAACTGGCGTCTGAAAGTGATGGATCACAACCGGCCGGAGCCGCTGCCCTTCCCCCCCACGGGTGGCTGCTGGTCCCCCCTCGTGGACTTCCTGCCGGAGACCAACTCCCCCGGCGTGCCGCTCCACCGGTACGCCTCCCGACGCCAACGCCGGCCCTCTGTTTACTCCCGCGGGTTTTTGAGCTTCTTCCCCTTTCTGTGTTCCAGATGTAACATCGCGGTGATCCTCCTCACCGACCTGATCGTGGACCACGGGGTCAAAGTGGAGTGGAGTGCCTACCTGCACCTCCTGCTGCACGCCATCTTCATCGGTAACCGCCACGCACTCACCTCAGGTCCACATGCAAACAGAGTTTAAGTCCACTGGTTTGTAAATTTGTATTCGTTAATCCAGAAATAATCTTCACAAACAACCTTAAAGGAGAATCCTGTTCTAGTATTTAGAAAATCTCCTAACCGACCTCGCCATCCTTTACGCCTCTACCTGCTAAGGTCACATGATCCAATGTCTGGTCTCCCTCCAGGGTTCGACCACCAGCACCCGGAGGTGTACGAGCACTGCAAGCGTCTGCTGCTCCACCTGCTGGTGGTGCAGGGAGCCAACAGCAGCGTTCAGTCGGTGGCCATGGTGCTGCTACGCAACCGGGACTACAACGAGCCGAGGGTCCTGACTGTGAAGCCGGTCGCTCCGGAGATCAACCTCACAGGTCAGAGTACCAAGAAGATACAAGACGACGAAAATAAATCTTTTGAATGTCTGTGGCCGACACGCGACTGTTTGAATGGTTTCCCATGATGATGCATATAATATTTAGACCTAATGATTATCTCAGGATTAAACCCAACCTTCATTTAATATTTGAGCCTCGCGTGCGTCGTCCCCACAGGAGTGCAGCAGCTGCTGTCGGACTGTCAGCCGTCCCCGATGACCGACTCCGGCCTCAGCTCCTGCTCCACCTCCTCCAGCATGAGTCTGGGTGCGGGCGGAGCCGCCCTCCCCCACCTCTCGCCCACGCTCCTCAGCGAGGTGGATGCGCCCCCCGAGCAGGACGAGAAGGTCAGGTGTCTCATCGAGTTCATCACCTCGAGGTGAGAGGAGCCGTCGGTGTTGAAGTGTTTAATGTGTCCACACTGTCTCGCTGCTCATTCATGTCCAATCATTTGCTTTCATGCCTCCAGCAGTGTGTGTGAGAAGGAACCGGGTATTCTTTGCTTTTAATTTGCATGGTTTTCATTTTTCCGCTTGGTGTCTTACTGTTCTCCTGTTGAGAACATCAGCTGATGTTTGAGGTCTAATTTCATGACTTTAAAGGTCGGAGCTTCTGAAGTGTTTGTTCCACAGTATCAGTGTTACTACTAAGATTGGACGTATTACAAAATGATCTGTATTGGTTTAAGTATCTAATGTTTTCACCTCTACAGTGAGCTGAAACGTCAAAGATTTTCATATTTGAGGCAACAAACGCTGCTAATACTACAAAGACGATTCATATCACGTTGTTATGCAGGTTATATTTTCAGCCTTCAGAATAAAGATTGGAAACGTTTGTGAGGTCTTCTGCTTTGAGTGTGTTGACATGAGGAGTGTCCATGTTTTCTCTTTGTCCCCTTATAAACGCATGAGTCCATAAGGTTATTCAGTGTGTGTAATGCTGCCTGGTTTAATATAAAGGATCTAATGACGTGTAAAGACGGTCGACATCCCTTCAACGCGTGCGCTCTGCTCCCGTAGGAAGCGAGGCCCGCTGTGGAACCACGAGGACGTGTCGCCCAAGAACCCGAACATCAAGAGCGCCGAGCAGCTGAGCGTCTTCGTCCGCCACGTGGTGACCGTCTTCAAGCACTCGCCCTCAGGTCCGTGCGGCTCGCAGCGTCCCGCGGGTTCAGGCGCGGCTCGGGCGTTGTGTTCATGTGCGCTTTAACCCCCCGCCGCAGGTTTCCAGCTGGAGTCGCTGCTGAGCGAAGCGGCCCTGCAGACGGCGCTGTCCTGCTCCTCTCGCCACTACGCCGGCCGCTCCTTCCAGATCTTCCGGGCGCTGAAGCAGCCGCTGAGCCTGGCCACGCTGTCGGACGTCCTCTCGCGGCTGGTGGAGACCGTGGGGGACCCGGGGGAGGAGGCGCAGGTAGGGAGACACGATCCATCTCATGCAGATAGATGCAGATCCACCGTTCCAGAAATGATTTAAACTGCTCGAGTCGATAAACCTGCAGAAATTCTATATGATTTACTTTTTCTATTATGTATGTTTTTGTTCATTAAAAAACGATTCAATCAATTTTATTGAATCTTGTCGGAATTTGTTTTAGAATCTTTTCAGAGCTAAACTTAAAGTTCAACAGCTCAATTCATCTCTTGTGAACACAATAACGTCATAATTAAATTGTTTTCATTAAATATTGGACATCATAATGTAGCTAAAAAAAATAAGAATCTGCTGTCAATTGATAATTTATTGTCCTTAGAAATGAATTTCTGATGTAAAACAATATATTTGTGGTTCTGGTTCTTGAATATCAGGTGGAAATAGCAGGAAGTGCAATTGCCCCCAGGTGTGCATTTAACTCGGGTTCGTTTCCTCAGGGTTTCGTGATTGAACTTCTCTTGACTCTGGAGTCGGGCATCGACACGCTGGCCGACACGGTGAAGAGCTACGACCTGCTGACCGCCATGGCACAGTAAGTCCTCGCTCCCGCAGCCGCTCGCCTGCACTGCGTCTGGCGTGAGTCACCGACGAGTCTCTGTGCCCTCAGGACCCCCCCCCGGGATCACCTGCTGGGGCCGAAGTTCGCGGCCAACAGGAAAAGCACCGGCCAGCTGAACGTGAGCGGCGCCGGCCTCTCCCACTACGCTCACGCCCGCAGCAACTCCCTCCGCGCCAGCCTAGTGGGCGAGCGGAAGGCCGACCGGCGCCGCAGCAACACGCTGGACGTGGCCGACCGGCTGGGCGGCAGCCACGGCAACCTGGCGCGCACCCGGAGCTTATCGTCGCTCGGCGGCGCCGGGGGTCCAGGCGGGGAAGCCATCCCCCCCGTGGACCCGTCCAACCTGATGGCCACCGTGTTCTGGATCGCCGCGTCGCTGCTGGAGTCGGACTACGAGTTCGAGTACCTGCTGGCGCTGCGGCTGCTCAACAAGCTGCTGGGTCAGCTGCCGCTGGAGCGCGCCGACAGCCGGGAGCGGCTGGAGAACGTCCAGGCCAAGCTGAAGTGGTACAGCTTCCCCGGGCTGCTGCAGCTCTTCCTGAAGGGCTTCACCTCCGCCTCCACCCAGGAGCTCACCATCCACCTGCTGAGCAAGCTCATCAGCGTCTCCAGGCAGACGCTGGTGGACCCGTCAAAGGTGGCAGGTGGGTGTCAGAAATCAGGAATAGTGTTGTTAGTCATAAATGTGAAGCTCTGTAATGTATTTATTGATTTGCATCACCTACAATGGCTCTAAAAACACGTATTGATCTTTGTGAATGTGGCTCCATAACATAAAGCTTTCCAGTGCTGCTGACTGGTGACATTAATATTAACAATAACCTTTGACCTCTGCTCAGTTTTGTCCATCGTGCCGACTGTCGATGATCACGTCTCTCTCGGTGCCTCCTCAGGGTTCCCCCTGAACATCCTGTGCCTCCTGCCGCACCTCATCCAGCACTTCGACAGCCCGACGGCGTTCTGCAAGGAGACGGCCGACAAGATCGCCAAGCTGTGCGCCGAGGAGAAGTCGGCCACGCTCTCCAACCTGGCGCACATGATGAGCCTGTACAGCACGCACAGCTACTCCCGCGACTGCACCAACTGGATCAACGTGGTGTGCCGCTACCTCCACGACGCCTTCGCCGAGATCACCCTGAACCTGGTCACGTACCTGGCCGAGGTACGTCGCCGCGGAGACCGGACGCCGTGGCGTCTTGTGAGACCCTGAGCCCGTCCCCTGAAGTCGTCTCTCTGTCCCTCTCTCTCTCTCTCTCTCAGCTGCTTGAGAAGGGCCTTCCCAGCATGCAGCAGTCCTTGCTGCAGATCATTCACAGCCTGCTGAGTCACGTCGACCTGTCGGCGGCCCCCGTCAAACAGTTCAACCTGGAGATCATGAAGATCATCGGCAAATATGTCCAGGTGAGTTAGTTCTCCTTAGTTGTCCTTCCGTCCGGAGGCCTCTTCTCCAGCAGGTGGCAGCGTTCATTCACAGGAACGCGCCTCTTCTTCTACTCATCTCAGTCTGGGACAAGTTTGTATTGTATTCTTTGCTAAAAAATGTTTATGACAACTAATCGATAACTTGTTGAAGCCGATTGCAGCAGTGACAGAATTCTATTCTATTTTCACACACAGTCTGCTGCATGTGGAGGATCCGATCTATGAGTATTAGATAAAAGCGTGACGTGTCTTTACACGATCACCGTTTGGATTGATGGTCGAGCACAGCGAGCCTCCCCTTCAGAGCCGCTGAAATGTTACGGGATACCGGCGGCCTCCGATGGGGCGGCGGCTCGGCTGCAGTTTCAGCCTCCCGAGGGGAAAATATGTCCCGCTCACATTCAGGAATCCTCCGCGGACGCGTACGCAGCCCGACGCGTCACAGCGCTCTCATTGTGTTTGTCTCTCGCAGAGCCCCCACTGGAAGGAGGCTCAGAACATCCTGAAGCTGGTGGTGTCCCGCTCAGCCAGCCTCGTCGTCCCCGACGACGCGCAGCGCTCCTACAGCACCGAGTCCTGCGGATCCCCGGAAATCGCCTTCACGCGCATCTTCAACAACTCTTCCAAGGAGCTGCCCGGCAAAACGCTGGACTTCCACTTCGACATCTCGGAGGTCGGTGTCCCGCGGCTCCACTGGCGATGCGCTCGGTGTCCCGCTGACGCTAACTCGCCCAAGTTTGACTCCACAGACGCCGATCATAGGGCACAAGTACGGCGACCAGCGCGCCGCGGCCGGGCGGAACGGAAAGCCGCAGGTCATAGCCGTCACCAGGAGCACCTCCTCCACCTCCTCCGGCTCCAACTCCAACGGTCTGGTGCCAGTGAGCTGGAAGAGGCCTCAGCTCTCCCAGGTACCGACTCCGAACCACCGGCGCTGACCGGGTCCAACCGGCAGAGCGCTTTAGGTCTCCATGTAACCACCTGGGGCCTCATTTATAAAACCTTGCGTAGGATTTGCGCCAGAAGTGTCGTACGGATGAAACGTAGGACGTGCGTACGCACAGAAATATTCAGACTTATAAAACGTCCCACGCAGTTTTCCCTTAATAAATCACAATCACTTCTAAATGCAGCGCAGCTTTTGCGGCTTCATGCCACGCCCACAGTTGCCCAAATATAGTCTGTGGAACGCCCACAAATTAATATTCATCGATTGCGAAATCATGACAAACACTGAGAGGAAAACGAAGAAACGTAACTTCACTCAGTGTGAAGTGGAGATGATCATTGGGAGGTGGAAGGAGACGTAAGATGCTCTTTGGAGGACACAGTGTGGATCACTGATGCCAACAAGGCACCTGAGGGGCAAAAGGTTGCAGAGCAACGCTGCAGCCTCACGACCTCGGACCCAAACAAAGAAAAACTGGTCTGACATCAGAGTGGATGCAAAAAAGCGTTTAGAAACGATGTTTCACACCTTTTCAGGAGTAAACAACAACCTCCTCCAGTGCAGTCGAGGCATCTGCCCTTAAACAGGCCGATGGTGCGCTGCACTACAGCGTGAATCCTTCCATGTGCCACGTCTCCTAAGAGCGCGAGATCAGCCATCAGCGTCATTACGCATCGTGACGGCATCATGGCGTTTTATTACCGTCCATCTGATTGCATCTGACAAGCAACAGCTGTGTTTTGAGGATGGGTCCGAGCTTGCGTGAAGGGCCGCACATTTTTCCGTCAAGTTCGCTTTTTATAAATACCAATCATTGCGTAGAGCGGCGTACGCCTTCTTTTGTGCGTACTGGTGTTGAGCAAATGTTAGAGGTCGGTTGGTGGAGATGAGCAACACACACACGGTCGGGTGGAGCCTTGACTGAGACGTAGTGAACGTAGTCATTGATGTTAAGAAGCCTGGACGTCCATGAAGAGGAAGTGACCACGTGGGGCCTGAGGAGGACGTGGAGATCAGCTCAGGCTGCTTGTGTGACTCTGTGCTTTTGTTGCAGAGGAGAACCAGAGAGAGGCTGATGAACGTCCTTTCTCTGTGCGGGCCGGAGTCCGGCGTTCCCAAAAACCCATCTGTAAGACTCCTCTCCTACTCTAAAGCCTCTGACAAGGTCTCTGTGAAGTCGCTGCAGGACACCGCCGTTACCGTCCCGGGTTACCTTTTGACAACGCGGCCTCTGCGCTCCCCGTCCGGGCAGGTGGTGTTCTCCTCCAACGAGGACCTGGACTCGGCGGACCAGCAGACCAGTCTCATCCCCACGGTGGAGGAGGTGGTCAGAGAGGAGGAGCTGCAGGGAGAAGACACGGGCAGCGAGCAGCAGTTCGGTGTCTTCAAGGACTTTGACTTTTTAGACGTGGAGCTGGAGGACGCTGAGGTGAGGGGGGGGGGGGGGGAGGGGACACTTGCAGTAATTGTGAAAAGGTAATAAATTGAAGGACATATGAAGTGGACACTATATGTCCTCCTAAAGACTAACTCCTCCCAAATGGTAGAACGTGGTGAAAGCAGGATTGTCTCGTATCAACTTTTCATCACTAACGTTATGACGACATCAATCCAGAGGAAATCATCCCGAAAGGACTTTTTATTTAAACGTGAAACTTCATGTGTGCGATCTTCATTTACTGTTACACATCAGTATGCTGCTGCTTATCTGAACGCCTGAGAAATGGCTTAAAGGCTGTTATGATGCTTAAAGTGAGCGTGAGGTTCTTCTCAACAGCGTCAGTGTTGCTACGGGAGAATAGTCGGTTTAAGTCAACAATGTATTTCAAATACTTTTTGTGTGCTGCAGTAAAAATAATGAAACCAGACTCATTCACCAAGTCAGTGATCGTAGGCTGATGTCTAGAAGCTAGAGATCAAAGATAACGGCTTCAGTTCTGTCTGGCATCAAAGTAACAGATTATTTAAGGTTCTAAAGGAACATTCTGGTACCGAGGAGGAGGAGAAGCTCACACACACACTACTGTAATGTCCTACTGGTCCTCCTCTGTCTTGTAACTGAAGTCCACTAACACACGTGTTCCTTCTCTTCTTTTGCCACAAGGAGTTTCAGGTGAGTCTGTGGGCCAGAAAGCTTCTTCTCTTCAGTGTCTCTGTCGTCTCCAAATGAATGAAGTGCTTTGGTCCTCTTGATTTGAGGCTGTGCCCCCTGTGGTGAACCCTTAGTCGTAGAACGTTGCATCACTTCCCATCCCGCTCGTTCCACATCATCTCCGTTTTGCAAACGAGTGTTGTTTTCTTGTGCCGTCCCCAAACTCTGCATCCGTCTCACTGTTGCCCCCCCCCCTGCAGGGCGAGAGCATGGATAACTTCAACTGGGGGGTGCGGCGGCGCTCGCTGGAGAGCATGGACAAAGGGGACACGCCGACTCTGCAGGAGTGCCAGTTCGCCGGCAGCACGCCGAGCCTCAACCTCACCAACCACGAGGACACGGACGAGTCGTCGGAGGAGGAGGTACTGAGCGCTAGCCAGATTCTCACCCGCTCTGGCCTCGTAAGTCTCACTCCGGTTAGGGTCTCCCCCCCCCCCCATCCCCCCTCCCCCACAACGCGTGCAGGCATCGTCCCGGTCAGCGTGTGCGTGCGTGTGTGCGTGTTGTGGACAGCGGCTTGATGCTTGCTTGGCAGCTGGTGGCGGTCGACGCCCTTCAAAGCTTCGGGCGTCAGTTGGCTTTCTGGTAGTTGCTCTTGCTGACGGGTAAGTACAGCCGGGGGAAACTCCACTGTTGTACTTCAATGCGTCACATGAGACCAGCATGTTTCTCTTGTGTTCTTCTTCTTTGCTCCGTTTCGCTTTGCAAGTCGAAGCTGCCAGTAACACACGCGCTTTAGTTCCCCCTCTGATCTGAGGTCGTGCGCTGTGAGAGAATGAGCTTCCTCCCCAGCGACCAGCATGCAGCGCTCATGTGTTCCCCCAGTTTAATCTGTCAGAACTGTTGTTTAAGTTGCCATGATCTCACTTATTGGCTTGAAGCAGTTTTAAAGTACAGAATCAACTGAAGACCAAAATGAATAAATGTTGAGCTCTGATTCATAAACAACAAAAACGTCACGAGTTCGGGATTGAAGTGAATCTAAAAGACGAAAGCGTGATCGATTCACTCTAAACTGTTGATGGACTCGAGTATCAAATGATAAAAGCTGTGTAGAGTGTAGCCCCCCCCCCCCTTAATATGGTCCAGAGGTTATTTGGGCTTTTTCAATGTCTTTTTTCTTTACACGTTGGACGTCATGACGTCATAAAGATCTAGTTGTGAATTATTCCTGATGCTGGATTGCTCCTTGTTTCTTTCTTCAAGCCACATGTTTGTTTGTTAATTTGAGACATTGAAGTATTTAGTAGTACAGTACTAATAACGCCCCCCCCCCCCTCATGTCCCTCTCGCTTCCCTCCTGCAGCTCAACAGCGACTCGGCCACCGACGACACGGCCTTCTACCCAGGTGGACTCCTCCGTCCAGCGCGCTGCCGAACGAGGCCCCCGCCCTTGCCCTCCCCCCCCTCTCTCACGCGCGTGGATAGCCCCTTTTTGGAGACGGGCCCACTCAGACAGCACCGGCAGCCAGCTGCTTGAGGTGCGATCAATCGGGGGGGGGCAATGAATCCGCTCTCCGGCTCGCCTTCTTTATTCCTTCTCCTCCTTTCCGCTCGAACCCTTTTCATCTGCTTTTCGCGGCGTTTCTCGGCTCGTCTCTCGTTGAGGGTCAGCGGCCTCTGGGGAGGGTTTTCTTTCGGTGGGGGAGCTGGGGGGGGGGCAGCTTGGCGTGGTGCTTTTGACTCCGGTTGCTTGCTTGCTCGCGTGGCTCTGGGTGTCGGGGCTGACGTCGCTCTTGCTGCTCTTTTCTTCGTGGTCTTCGTGGTTTCATAGTCGTGAGCTGGTGGGGGGTGTGGGGGGCTTTGCTTGCATGACGTAATTTGGGGGGTGGGGGGGATGAACCCAAAGCTCACCTCAGGTTGGCTGTCACTGCTCACCTTTTTTTTTTTTTAAATAACACCGCAACTGTTCGACTAAACCTCTTGAAACGGACGCGGGCTCCTTTCCCTCCAGCAGAAGCTTGTGTGAGTATGAGTCGTCCTCCAGGTGTAACAATGCATCCATTAACCGCCACGTCGCCGTGGCAACGCGCCACTGCTACTGACCTGTGTCATGCGTACTAACAGCGTCTGGGGGAGGGGTTTAAATGATGAGGTCAGAGGTACCGCAGGTTCCATCTCTGATTCCTGACGTTTCTACAGAAACCGACACATGATGATTGTTTTCATTCCTTTTGAACGGATTCACTTTAAAAAGAACACACGCATTTATTATACCGACTAGTGTTTCCCGCAACGTTTTCACATTAAGCCCCCGACTTCCTTTCATCTGTGCTCGTCATGTCGCCCCGGTTGCTAACGGCGTTTCAGCCCCAATAGCTGGGGAATAGCCTCATGCGCGTTTATCGTAATAAGGCGCTCGTGTCCTCCCAAGGACATCTCCCCCATCAGGGCCCCGGCTC